AAACCGTTACGGAATCTATCTGTTTTCCCCCCTCACCCTGCGCCTATCCTGGCTGGAGAACGGGCAACACCGTCGCGATATCTATCTAGCCTCCCACTCACCCCATCCTATTATAGCATGAGAATGGTCAAAACCTTTTCGGTACCTATACAGCTTCCCCCTCACCCTAATCCTACCGTGACACGATAGAGTGGTCAAAGCCGTTTCGGTGTCTATACAGCGTCCTCCTCACCCTATCCTATCCAATTATAGCACGAGAATGGTCAAAACCTTTTCGGTACCTATACAGCTTCCCCTTCACCTTAATCCTACCGTGACACGATAGAATGGGCAAAGCCGTTTCGGTGTCTATACAGCTTCCCCCTCACCTCATCCTATCCAGGCACGAGAATGGTCAAAACCGTTTCGGTACCTCTCTAGCGTCCTCCTCACCCTATCCTATCCAATCCCATGATAGCAGGAGAATGGGCAAAACCGTTTCGGACTCTAACCAGCATTCCCCCTCACCCTCATCCGGTCGACGAGGACATCCACCAGCCCGCTCGACTTCTCATGGTACAGCTCCTGCTGGAACATGGAGCCCATCGCCTATCGGGTTTTTTTCGGGGTGCACGCCACAAGCGAGAAAAAAAGGGGGAAGGGAGGGTTCAAGGGCAACCTGCGTTGAGCGTGGAAATAGCCTCCTCAAACGCCAACGTCAAAGGAATAGGTACGTGGGGGTAGAGAGGGTTCAAGAGCAACCTGGGTTGAGCTTGGAAATAGCCTACTGACACGCCAACGTTAAAGGAAACCACGTACGTGTCACGATCGGACGGCTATCCCCGCCTCTCTCGTCCTAGATCTCCGGAGATCGTACGTGGAAGGCCTCAAGGTGGTGGCACACGTACATCTACGGAGATCGCACGGCTCAGACAACATACCCAGGTGTTTGCATGCATAGATCTATGGAGATCGCGCGACTCAGACAACACACACCTGCCAAGGTGTTCGCACGCATAGATCTACGGAGATCACACGACTCAGACAACACACACCTATCAAGGCGCTTGCATGCACAGATCTACGGATCTCGCACGCAAGATGTTTGCGTCCACAGACCTACGGAGATCGCACGAAACTCGGCAAAAAAAACGCACCTGGAACGCGTCCAGGTGTTCCCACTCCGAGCTCGGCCGCGCGCCCTGCCCGTGCACGTGTCTCAGCGCTCCGTTGTGGCTCCAGATCCTGACCCGACCACCACCATCACCGGCGTCCCCGGCGAGAAGCGAGGCCATCCTCTTGTCCTCCAGCTGCTTGGCGATGCCGTGCTCGTCCCAGGTGGAAGACCGCTGCCTCGTTCGCCGGTAGTCATCTTCTTCGTCGTCGTCGCTGGCGGCCGCGGCGGCGGCGGCGGCGCGATTGCTTGCTGCTTGCTCGGCAAGCCTTCTCGTCGTCGAGATCTGCTCTCTCCTGTAAAAAGCGGTTTCAGAAAATATACTTAAAGCAAGACTACAACCCGTTCGCCGTAAAATTCACCCGCATACCAGACACCATTTGGCGCGGTTGGGGGGGGGTAACTTGTCTTGTGTCGAATTTCCGAGAAAGAACGTGATCCACCACTTGGAAGAAACACCGTCACGACCACCTGCGAGAATACCACGCTAATTGTACTTGTCGATACCTTTGGGGGGATGTTCGGCTACCCTTTTGCACGACGACGCGCGTGCAAATAAGACGTGCACGCTTCGAAACGCCTCCGTGGATGGGTTGAAACTGGGTTATAACTGGGTTATACACACACGTGACCGACCCAACCCAACCCACCCAACCCAACCCTAACCCTAACCCTAACCCTAACCCTCACGGACGTCCAACCGGGGCCGTGGTGGCGAGACTGGCCACGAACGCGGCTGCGCCACGTTCGTGGTCCGCACGTCAGAACGTGGTCCGCACGCTGCGCGCGCTGTTTTGACCAATCACAAGTCGAGTCGTGCACGGTCTTATTTGCACTCGCGTCGTGCAAATAGGGGTTGCCGGGGATGTTCTCAATGCAAAATATTTCTGTTGTGTCGATTTTCTTGGAGAAACACTGCTCACAACCACCTTCTGGACACCACGCTAATTGTACGTATCGATACCTTTGGGGGGATGTTCTCAACGCCACGACGTCTTTCTTGCTGCCGCGCCCTTCTTTGAGCGGGGCAAGGCCCGAGACCACCCTCCTGCGGTGCAGTGCAGGGGACATGACCAACCCGTCGGGGCTCTCCTTGAGAAACAGCTCGCCGGAGTTGACGCGCGTTCTGCGGCATGTTTGTGAGGAGGGGGAGGAGGGGGGAGGGAAGGGTTGAAGGTGTACCCGTGTAAACGCATGCCGTAGTCGTTAGGCCATTGACCTCGCACCCCTACAAACCCCGGACGGAGCACGCC